AAAATTTAAAAATCTTACATAGTGTAAATTACATATAGCGCTGCACTATGATATTAAATTATATGATGTGCAACACCTCAACGACATACCCACTGCATAGAAATATAGTACAATATACCCTATATCAAAAAAAGCAACATTTACAGGCAACTTAAACCAAACACGCCCCATTACACTAATAGAATATATTAGAAAGATCTTCACAAAAATTATAGTATGGAGACTTGATCCTATACTATCCAAATACAACATATTAAACCCAAACAATTATATAGCCCTAGCCAATACCTCTACAGCAATACTAATACATACTTTTCAACATATAATAAAAGATGCTTAGACAAACAAAAAAGAACTATAGTTATTATTACAAGATATGAATAAGGTTTATGATTTAGTGCATATATCACTCCTAATCAAAGTACTACACCGTATCAAGATACTCAAACCCATAACAAATATCATAAATAATATACTATCTCACAAACACAACAATATCATTACCAATCATGGACTAACTAACAAATACCAAGTTCAAGACGGTATAGACCAAGAGGAAACTATAACTCCACTACTATGGAGGATATATTATGACCCTTGCTGACCTGAATCAACAAAAATTACTCTATATACACAATGAAAACAACAACACCACAGCCAACATATATACAACACAAATGTCTTAGCAAACAACAAAATGTATTGGTATATATGGACGATACATTATGGATAGCAGAAAACAAACCAAACTTACAGACACTAATAGATACAGCTAACTCCTTCTACAAAATGACAGGAATCACAGTCAATCTACACAAGTCAATACTAGCTACCAACTACAAACCGAAGAAAAAAGATGAACCAGTATATAATATTTAATAGTATCAATATACACTCAATATCACATAAATATTGCTTCTGATTTCTTGGATGCTACTACAATATCTATACTAGTAAAACACCAATACAGAAAAATATAGTAAAAAAAATAAATAACGCCTTAAAGTTACTTCAAAAATCAACAATCACAGAGAGACAAGCAATATATATAATCAATACAGTCATCCTAACGCATTTCGAATACTAAATACAAAACCATATATTTGCCAAACCACAATATAACAAAACTACAAACAGATATACTTTGATCGCCAAACACAAAGCTGGTATGTCCAGAGCTATACCCAATTCAATCTTCTACAACCACAGAATATACGCACTCTGGACACTATGGAACATATAATGCCAACACCATATAAGCAAGATAATACAACAAATCAATGACCCAGACCTATGTAATTCATCACTATACATATGCATATAACAACTACAAAATGCAGCCAATACAAACACATCAATACTGGCTGACACATCATATATATTTTCTATAGCTGAATATAATACAACCACAGCTAAAAGGATTCAAATACTACACAACAACTATTTTACAATAATAAACAATATTAGCAACTAGCCTGGACTCCTTAGAAACAAAGGAAATAGCATAAACAAAACACTTATGGATCCATCACTACACACAAGCAAGATTAATGCTCAACAACTCAAAGCTAAACTTAATAAACATAGAATCAACTTTATCGAACAGCTGACAAACTTAAACAACACACAAACAATTAGCTAGAAAGAAATATCACACACCACACATAAAATACCAACAGACAAAGAACCAGCATGGTTCAAAACAATCACAAGAATAATCAAAACACAGATCCAGCAAATAAACCAATTAATACTACACATACCAAACCCATACATAATTAACAATGAAGAAATAACCAAAAACAAATAGATAATAACCCCGATAAAAAACCAAAACATAATCGGAAAGATAACAGCAAAATGCAGCTATAACAATATAAAATTAACATACTAGATATATACAAAAGACAAACACCAACCACAACAGCTCACACAATACAACCAATATAAACTAACAACTACAACACACCACGGCAAATGTGCTATACAAACAAATTTCCAAAACTACAGCATAATACAAGTGAGCCATAGCAAACGAATATATAGCAATACAAAAGAAATACAAACAGTACTATGATGCACACAACAACAAAATCCTATATATCAGAAAAACAACCTATCCCAGCTACCCAAAGATCAAAAAAACTACAACAGACATTACAAATATGCAACAGCATATTCCCGCAAACAACAATCAATACAATGCTAATCAAACTAGCAAAAGACATCATTATGAACAAGAAAACACAGGCAATAATCACAACACATAAGGGAACGAATAACAAACAACCGATATATGGATTTATTTAGGAAATTTGTCAAATGAACATTAAACTAACCAACAAAATTACAAACTGGCCATCAAAAACAATAGCGATATTAATAGCAATCTTAATATTAATAGCCATTATACCAATCAATACAATACTAAAAATACTCACAACAGTACCTCACATCGCTAAAATATATCAACAATACAGCACAATCAAATACAATAGGAAAAATATCATAACAAAAAACTAACACTGGCTATACTGGTACAATGTTTTCATACTCACAGCAAAGAAAAATATCTAACTAGAACTATTAACAATACCAAGCAAATCCTTAGCACTTACAAAACTACATGCCAAAACAAACTTTGATGCCAACATACAAGAAATAATACCACAATTTCAACAAACTGATTATATAACATACACATTTACATGATTCGATCACACAACAATACAAAAAACAAGAAGACTAATTAGAAACATACAGAATACAAAAAATCTAGCAATATGGTATTCACAAAACCAGACACAAAGATGGTTCAACATACAAGATATCAACTGGAAATTAACATATGCATTTATCAACTATAATACTACACCCACAACTCGGCAAACACACCCAATCTATTCTAAACTAAAGGCCTTCAAGATAAAACTCCTTCTAGACGAACTGCTAATTTTTCAGAATCTGAGCAAGTGAAATCTACAAAGATACCCAGAAACACAATACAAAATATACAATATAGAAGAAGAAACAAATACACACTGGCTGATATGCCCAAGAAACCCAACTAACATTAACACCTTTATAAATAGTATAGCTAGAAAATTTATAGACAAAAACTAAAAAGATACAACAACAAATAGTAAAAAACTAGAGTTTATAGATAAATTCTTTACTAATCTGAACCTACAGCCAATGGCAATACTATGACCTTAATCCGAGACCTCATCACAGATACGTTCAAACAAAATCTAAAATCAATAACACTTACCAAAAACAAAACAAAACCCAACTCAGTCAAACTACTCTACAAAATCTGCAAAACAATTCACAACCAAATATAAAAAGATCGCTACAGAATAACAGCCCAAAGGACAAACAATGACCAAATACAAAACACAAACATCAACTCTACATATAACACAAACCAACAAACCACATAATTAAATACAAACTATAATTTACAACAAACAGCCCAAAACAAATGGATAAAGTAGACCAAACAATACTATACATACAATACTTCTCTTAATATGATTTGTCAAATGCAATCTAAGTAAGGACTTGGTGCTTTCTCTTAGTAGAGCCTAGGCCGAAGGTAAACTAGCTTTAGTCAAAAGTTTTTAGATAGCTTAATTTCAAAATATATAAAAATATCTTGATATTAAATTGTAATATTGCAAAATATTATCAATAAAAAACTAAGATCAGGTCTCACTCTTTAAAAAAAAAAAAAAAAAGACCAATGGCTAATATAGTAATCAGAGTTCTTATCTAAATTTGTCTGATAAATACGATATAATTCTGTATAGCTTTCACTAGCTAGAAAAAACATAATAGTTATAGTATCTTCTCAAAAATATCGACCTATATATTAAAAATAATTTACTAATATAGATTAAAATAAATATAGATATATGAGTTATTATACAAAAAAACTATACTTAAAGTATATATTTTTTATATACTCTATGCATGGTTTTCAGTGCAACAATTTATAGAATAATAACTTTACCTGGTGATAGTAATCCATAACAGTTTGCATAATTAATAATAAATATAAGAATGTTTAACACAGTTGTAAATGACAAAGTGGGAGAAGGTTTTTTCTAATAAGTGTGTGTTTCATAGATTTAATACTATTTGTACGATAATTCTGACGAATATTTTCTCATTTTTTATTAGATAGTGAATATATAGTTTGAAATGCTTTTTCACAAATTTCACTTGCATCAAATATATATTTAACAGTTAAGTATTGTTTTTTTTTACCATATAATGTTTCATTTGGACAAGCAATTACATGAAGTATTCCTAATAAAAATATTTTGTATTCAGATTTTGATAGCTTTTAAATATTGTTATAAACTGTAAATGCAGTTTCATGATCAATTTTAGATAAACAAGTTCTAGTTTTATAACAGATTGTAGTACAAAACTTATAAATAGAGACATCTTTTTCTTGCTGATCTAAATAAGTGATTATTTTTTAATTAACTTCTTGCTCTTTATTATTTTTCTTAATATTACTTTGTAAAAATATTTTTTTAAATTTTTTAATTTGTGCTGAAGTAAGAACTTGATTATTAAAATATTGTATTTCTTTATTATTATCTATGTTATTGGTATTTTCAGAACCAAGTTTATTTGTTTCAAATATATCCTTTATTTCGATTTTATAATCTTTTTTACTTTGATAAAACATTTTAAGTTGATTAAAATCTTCTGTTATTGAACCAATTTCTGAATATGTCTTTAAAACAATTGATAAAACTAATATATATAGTAAATTCATTTTTGCAATACCAAAACTCTATGCTACTACTATGTATAATAAAACTTGTAATATATTTAATCAGAATATTCGATTTAGTAATAGCAGTAACTGATAAATTTAGAAGCTAATTTCAGTTTTTATTAATATTAATAATAATAATTGAAATAGAACAATCTATTATTACTTGTAGTAAATAACAGATATACATAGGCATTATTCTATAAATCATATGTATGCTATAAAATGATATATAAAGGGCCTTTATGTAGGTTCATATATGTATATAATAAATTGAAAATAAGAGTCACTATATCAGAAAAGTATTAATCTGAGCAAAAACAGGTATATAGATCAATCTGCAGGTTAACTTGCATGCTAACCTGTAGCTTAATCTGTAAGTTCCTGATATACTATATAAAAAAAAAAAAAAAAAAACTTTTATAAAACATACTCACCATTGAATAGTATATAGTATATGGTTGAGGTTTGTATTAGAATTATCATCAATCTTAATTTACTGCAGTGACATGTACAATTATTATTTTAACGCTTTTTTTTTGAAATCAAAAAGGTAGTCAATTGAAAAGATGAAATAAGATAGCTCAAGCATCGATCATTATTTTAATATTAATCAATAGCAGAGTTTGAGTTTTAATCATTAGCCAATTGCATTGGGAGAGATGCTAAGCATTTATTTGATTTCATTTGACTAGTTTATAATAAGGATATAAAAAGTTTGATCTTATCTCGGCTTGACTCCAAAAGTTGAGTCATTGTTAAAGTTTGGTTCCAAGTTAGACTTGAGACTTTAACTCGCATCTAGTATAATAGTAGAGTGATTCATAAGTAATAATCAGATGACTTATTTCATTTTCTGATTTCTTCAAAAATATAGCATAAAAAATATACATTTATGCATATTTTGCATGTATTCATATTTTTAATTCTATATCTAAACATACTAGAGCACATACAGATACAAGTCAAAATCTCAAGTCTAACTTGGGACTGAACTTTAAAGAAGACTCAACTTTTGGAGTCAAGTTAGAACCAGATCGAATTTTTTATATTCCTAGTCTATAAGCATATTATAACAATTATTTGTTAATTAAGGTATTTAAGAAACTATTTCAATTCTTATCTAATTTGTCTTTATCAATATTAATTTAACCCTAAAATACGTTGTTTATCATATTTGTTTCTTGTGTTAATTTGGGGTGTTCTCAAGCACCTTACTTAGTAAATCGAAGACAAATTTTTAATAGTTAGAAATTTAATAAATTAACCAAGTAAGCTGTCATTTCGATTAACAAATCAGCAAACTACAACCCATCTTTTTTCTTCAAAATTTACCATTATTTAAGCATTACTTTTGGTTTTTGATATATCAAACATAACAACAATAAATTCTCAACAAATTTCTAATTGATATGAAAAAATAGCCACTTTATTTTGAATTCTCAAAGCTTTTCAAACAAATCATCGATACCTT